CACACAGTGTAAAAATTTCATCAAGATCGGTTCAGTAGTTTCGGAGTTCATACCAGACAAACGTTGTAACACGAGGTTTTTATACATAAATAATTAATAGTAATAATATTTTGTACTACCTTTTTTTTATCAAAGAATTGTTATTTCCTACATTTCAGGAAACTTTCGACTTTTAAGTGACTATGAAAAACTGATAATATAGATCATTAAATCTAGATCTAAACTTTAGATTCTGAAGTATTATATTATAGCTAGTGTGTATATATATATGTAACTATGTAAGTATGTATAGGAACGTTGGAACGTAGTTTCGTTAGATTCTTCAGAGATTAGTGCACTAGGGCCATACTATATTACTTATACGGCTATACAGTATAGTGTATACACCTTAGATATTATATAACATTTATTGAATTATAATTCATTATTTAATAACCACGGGATTGATATTATTTTGGGAACATCTTTTTTAGCAACATATTAATGAAATATATAATAAGTGTAGGAAACCGCGACTGTTATATTTTACATCGCGTCTTCGTATTGTCCCATGTTTAAGTTTTTGAAAAAATAATTATTATTATTATAAGTTAAAAAATGCATTAATGAAGGGGAAAAAARGAATGAGGAGTTAGCACACTTTTGCAGAGATCCACCTATTTCGAATCGTCCACCCACATCAGAATACATCGGTCTTTTCCCCAATACTAATATCTATACCTAATAATTATAAAATATAATACCAAATATTTGTTTCGGTTGTTTTGCACTATTTTAATATATTAGTCGTATAAATACCATAAATATTATTTAATGATCGCAATACCACAATATACGCAAATGTTTATAGGATGAGGTGTCGCTGTCATCTACCCTGGCTGATCTGAAGGCCACATACGGTGAAGCCCGGTTGAACGTGACACACGTCACCCTGGAGGAGTGTCTGGAGTGTTCGCCGTTTAAAGGCATGAATCTAAGCGGTCGCCCGACGCTCGCCAAATTCGTGGTGCAGCTGTTGGTGTTGTGGCAGTTCGGCGGCACCTTGCTGGACGAAGGCGTGGTGGTGGTTCGCGGAGACGTGTACCGAGCGACAGGCGACACAGTCGAGTACGGCGGCCGGACCATCAGCTCGCCGGTCGCGTGCCACGAGTTTGTTTACAAAGTTATGCTGAGCGCCAAGAGGTACGCGCTAAGCGGCCAGCCGTTCACGCCGGACATTGGCCGGACGATAGTGAACGACTCGGCCACCGGCGTAGATGCCCGACCCGTGGCCGACTGGGTAATGTGCCGCGGTGGTGCCGCGGCCGTTGACGATCGCTGTTATTACGCGGAGGCGATTGCTGCAGAAGTGCACGGTCATCGATGTCCCGTAGTGGTCGGCGGCAAACCGTCGTCGCCGAGGTTCCTGCAGGAAACCATCCAAGCCTCGTCTCCAAAGTTCCGGAAAACCATCATCCAGACCACTGCAGTGACAGACTCAACCGAGGACGTCCAACACGATCATAAACGCAACACAGCAGACGACGAGCGAATTTCCGCTGGTATCGTAATTTAAGTGTAGGATGTATTATATATTATATTATGGCGAAAACCAGGGCTGAACGCTCGCTCATATATACGATGGTCCCATTTGTTTTAAATTTTCATTACAAGTTCCAAAGCATAATATATGATACAAAATACAAAATCGAAAATAACGCTGTTGAGAGTGTCGAATGAGACTTGTATAAAATATATCGTTAAATACGTTATGGAATTCAGTAACTTGATTATGATATAGGTACCCAATAATATATATCTATATAATATAGTAATATACCTATATATTACTCTATAATAGGCGTAAACGTCATATACATTATTTGGGAAGACTAAAACTCCTTAATTATAAATCAACAAAATATATGTATGATGAAAGAATATTAAAATATATTTTTTTATTAAAAAAGAAAATACATAATACATAATATAATATTGTAGAATTTGATGTGTGGTAGGTTTTAGATAATATTACAAATGCATTTTCCACGCCACGTTTATTATGTCGTCTGTTTTTAACAAAAGATAGAACTGTAAAAGATCTCTGGAATATTTTTGTCATTGATCGTAAAACAATTTTTCTGTAATCCATTAAGTACAGTTCTGATAGAGAAAATAGCACCTTAACTATATATACATATTACATATACTACTATACCTATTATATATATCTACTTGCCAGTAGAGCAGTACAGTTTTCCAGGAAGGCCATGGAAGGGTAGGCTATAGCTATTTATTTTAGCCTATATATTATCATAATATTATTATTTCTAGAAAACCCTATAGCCTTTTCCCCCCAATAAAAAAATCTTAAATATCCCACGAAGAATATTTTACCTATTACACATGAGTATATCCCTGCACAGAGAAATTCATCTTTGTTGCAAAATTGTTTAATTTTATATTTCTTTGCACATATATATTATAACACATCTGTCATCTAGCATGTATATAGATGCGATATATCATAGATTTATAATATATTATTTTATATTTTTATGTCTGATCAGTCTGAATAATATAAATATATTCTGCAAAAGGCACGAAGCGCTTGGAAAGTTATACTTTATATATACCCAACACGACTCACACACACAGCTAGTGCTATAGAGATACATTTTTACCAACATGCGACATGCCATTTTTGTAAGTATAAAAATGAATAATTTTGTCTATCTATAAGTATTTCAAATATAAATTATTATTAAATAATAATAATTAAAATGATTGTATTATTTTTGGGCTTTTAATGTAAATTGTTCCTACAATATTAAATGAATATATTCACCTACGGCTTACGTGTATAAAATAAAAAATATAACTACTTATTTACTTATTTATTAGATTTAAATGAAATTTTATTATTGAGTTAAAATTAGTATTTTCTCCCTAACTCTTTAATTTACAAAAAAAAGTCCATGGACGCCTTCATACTATAAATGATATGATTATTCACCTGTCTTCTAGGTATCTATCCATGTACGATACATACAATTAAATAATTGATGAGCTATATGTCTATATGTATCAAAAAAATATATGATTTTGTGCTATGGATAATAGACATCAAATTGTAAATATTAATTGATGCAATGCTATACGCCTGTATATGTATTAAGATTACCTAAAACAATAAAAAATTTTAAAAAGTAATGTTCTCACACATCAGTTATTTGAAATATAATTTCGTCTWAATACATTTTTAATCGTAACATAATGTAACMATCTATAGGTATTTTACATCAATGTAAAATGTTTTGGTAACATATTTTGTATTGCAGATAATGTCTTTAAATTATTATAATCTAAAACAACATAAGAGTTGAAGACTTGAAGGAAGTGAAGCCTCCTTAGAGTTCATTACCACTTAATAAATTTAAATAACTCACCCC